GGTTTAGCAACCTCATCTGAATCAGCCCTGCTTGATGGAAGGCTTCAGAGAAGTCCAGACCCCTACGATGCTTGTTCTGGGACCGGACATTTCACAGCAATACCAGACAAATCTAACAGCGAGTCAGGACTGCCAAGATCTTCCTGAAAGTCACATCCATCTACAAGGGACATTAGTAACTGGACTCAGAACAAGTGGGCTGCATTCAGACTGGTGGGGGATGAGGAGAACATGGCCACCACTCATGACGCTCAATGCAAGGTAAGGCTGTGAGGGGTAGTGAGCACTGCAGTGAAGGGGCGGACACAGTTCCTTGGGAAAAAGCGATCAAATAGCTGGTAACAGTTGAGAGAAATCATTGTGACAGCAGCAGAAGGGACGGCCTCTCAGCTGTGTAAAGATCTTTCACAGGCAGTAAGGGTTATCATAGCACCTCAGAAAAACAATCACTTGACCAATAGCGTGCCTGCAGTTCTAATTAGAAAAGCTATGGGAGTCCTTACCATCCATGGCAGAGCACAAAGCCAGGAAGGTTGATCAATTAGCCTTGCATATGGAGGGGAAGGACTTGCATGTGAGATTTTTATATACTGCTTCCATAAGCCTGTAATCCATGCCTTTCTGAGAATTTTATTTACACAGTTTGGCCTAGCCTGGACAAAGATTTTACAATAGGGAGCAATCCTGCATTGGCAGGAAATAATCTAGACAGCCTAACAGGTGTTCTCCATCTCCAATTTCTCTAATTCCATGAAAATTCAGCTGGCAAAAATACTAGAGCAGCACAGGAGGCAGAGCATCTTTCCAGCTAGTAGGCTCAGCAACAGAATGCAGCAGCAGAATTAAGGGGACACTAACATACAGCTGTATATTATATACAAGTATCTAAAATCAGCTCTTACAGGACACGGGCAGCAGTTTGGTACGGCATATTCCAACTGCATAGGATAATCCCCACATGGATTTGTGAGCTTTTAAAGGAAAGATGCAGGTGCTTAAGATGTGATGCTTAAGTGATTATGCAGCATTTGCCAATCACAACGTTTTGGTAGCCAGAAGAACAAAGTGGCAAAGACCCAGCAGAGCAAGCCAGCATTTAAGACAGAGAGGTGTGCCGCCTGCAGTGGAGACAGAAGCGCATCCCAGACCACTTTTCTAGTCATTTCTCCTAAACCTAACAAAGTGTTTCACTTTAATCTTTTGGCTTCAGACAGTCTAAGGCCGAATGTTACAGAGGCATCTCACTGTTCTAATATTATCCGGTGGGCTTGTTTACATGTTATTGTTGCTAAGAGGAACTTGGAGCTTTGGAAACACTGTACCAGACCAGAATGCTATTCATAGAATCATAGACTTTAAGGTCAGAAGGGACCATTATGATCATCTAGTCTGACCTCCTGCACAATGCAGGCCACAGAATCTCACCCACCCACTCCTGTATCAAACCTGTGTCTGAGCCACTGAAGTCCTCAAATCATGGTTTAAAGACTTCAAGGTGCAGAAATAGCTGCCATTGGGAGCTGAAATCCATATAACACTTCCCTGACAACTGTTTGCCATTTTCTGTTTTTAACAAACCGGTTTCTTTGCCAAGCAGTGCTTCTCCACTGAGGTGACCCCACCGACTTCTGCCATTTCCAAACCCTAGTTCAAAACCTGCAAGCAGTCACCGTTCCGGTATCCCTGCTGTCACGAGACTCCACGTTAACAAATGAGGCAGCTTGAACCCACTGGTGCAAAGCATGAATGAAAATACTGCATCTGATTATGCAGCGAGTGGAGATGGGGCAAGGATTTGGGGGTTTCTCTTCTTTATAGTTAACAGATTTAAAAGATGGCTCACTAATAAAAATGCAAGGCACCTAAAAGGACCCGATATCATGTGTGTGAACTGGTTTTGCAATACAATTAACTTTTTAGCCTTGCCTGTCTAATTCCAATCACTCAGATATCTTGGCAGATTTCTCTCCCCAACGGCACTGCAGTACTGTCAGATCAGCACAGTGCACTTTGACCAGTCTCCACAATATCCCACAATGGAGTATTCACGGCAATGACAGCATTACAAAGCATCTATGCAAGCTAATGGGGAAGAACTTGAAGGCTGCATAGCTGTAATTGACTATAGTTAAGTTTCCATTCGGATAATACATTTAACTTGGTCTGGCAAGTTGGTGCCTAACTCCCACCTGAGTGCAGGATCCAGCTCACCCAACGGATCAGTCTGGCCATTGAGACAGATTCAGATTTTACAAACTGCAAGTTCTCATTTTCTCCCCAAACATAAGCTTCAGCCCTTATTGTTGCAAAGAAACGTCTAAATATGAACTGATGGGATACGGTCTTAGATAGTCTACAGTATCTGAAAGAAGGGCCACGGTCTTCTTTCATCAAAACACGGTATTAACTCTGAAGCCTAGTGATAACATGTGACCTTAAGAATCCCTCAATGCTAGCTGGCAAAGTGTTCACTGTTCTATCACAGTACCTCTTATCAGGCCTGAAACTCGCTATACCTAAAGACTTTGCTATCATAATATCCATTTATAAAGAGTATCATGTGAGATCTTAAACGAAAGCCAGGATCATGCTGGTCATTAATACTGTTGTAAATACTGATTATATTTTAAGTTATGACTATATACTGAAACTATGTCCTTATAGTTTTTAATCCATCTGTTATTCCCCAGCAGGGGTGAAAAACTGCTTTTGCCATATAAAGGGATGTATGTTCATTTGTCTACCTAGATTCATATGTAGATTAAACATTGTAAGCCAAACAAAACAGGGAGTTACATCTGCATTTCAAGTCAACACGAAGATGTGAATGCACCTTGGAGTCAGCACATCAGGAAGGGAACCATGGCAGGATGGGGAGGTTCATCCTGACTCTGAGGGTCAAAACAATGAGTTTTGGGTAATATGAGGAGATAAAAAAAAAAAAAGCCATTTTGGTATTCATTTACTGAGGAAATTCCTTGAAGGGTGTGGCATATACTCATGAAAACTTGGATCATGGTTTTGACTGAAAACTAGCAGCTCTGTCAAAAACTGAATCCTTGGGAGAAAATCTACTCTATAAAAGAAGAAAGGTAACCATCAATAAGTGTAGACCTAGAATGGCGTTTTACATTTTGTTTTATGTGGGTAACCATTCTGTTTCCAATATTCTTCCTCGCTATTCATTTGAATCTCTGTTCTTGGTTAATAAACGTATTTGTGTTTTTATTATAAATATGTTTCAGTGCTGTGGTGTTAAATAAAGTGCAACTCCTCAGCTGAATGAAAGAAGCTGATGTACATACTGTTCCCGTTGGGGACAGCAAACATATCCATTTCTGTGAGTGTCCAGTGGTGGGCTGAACACTGCTGGGGATGTTTTCAGAGGGGCCCAGGGGCTGAGGTATACCTTTTGTTACCTATAAGGCAAAGTAAGGGTTGGCAGAGCCCAGAGGAGACTGTCTGAATGACTAGCAGACCAGTATTACCAGGAAGCTGACTACCAGTTAAGCACAACCAAGTCGGGGTCTTTCACTGAGGCAAGGGGTGACTAGGTAACTAAGTCCTGGGTGGCATGAGGAACCAACACACTGGCCACAAAGACAGGATTTACACACAGTTTGCTGGTTTGCTAGAGATCACACTCCCAAGCACCGGTAAATTGGACTGAGATTCACACGTGAGAAGGTTGAGAATAGACAAGGAGAGCTTACAGTTTTTTTCTGTTTGTTTTGGGAAATGGAGGGGCATCATGTGCTCCTCCCGGGGACTCGCGAGTGACAGCGGCAGCAGTGGTGTTGCATCAAAGTGGGGCGAAGGGGTGCCAGGGCCCCGCCCGCTCCAATCCCCGTGGCCGGGTGCGGGCCCAGGAGCGTGGCCGGTGCTGCTGGGAGGACCATGGTGGGGACACTGGTGCGGCCCGAGGGGCCCAAGTTGCTGGTCAGGAAGCAAAGCAGCGAGCCTCGACTCCAACCTGTCACCCAGCCCCAGCCACTGGCTGCTGCTGCCGCTGCCCCCAAGCGCACTGCACCTCCCAGGCTGCCCCAACTGGGATGCTGCGGGCCAGGCGCCACCGGTAAATAGAGCCTTGCGCAGCTGTATCTGCATCCAATCCACTATCCCAAAAATGGTCCGGGGATATGAAGCAGATATCCACAGATTTGCAGGGCTCTAGTGATACAGACTTTGGCTGTAGTAAACAATCTAACAATTTCCATTATAATCCTTTCCCCTCCCTCATTTTTGAACCAAGCACAGAGCACCCCACTCAGTAGGGCTGGGAACTGAGGGGAAAGAGTTAACTTTAGCTTACAAGAGTCTAGTTGCTTTAAACATTCTTCTCCCATTGACAGTAACTTGTCAAAACAAGGCTGCTAATTAGAAATATGCAAATCAGCATTGTGCCTTTTTTATTAAAATTTACTTGACCCTGATGCCACTGTAAGACTGTCCTGGCACATTTCACCTGTTTGCATGAAGGAATGGTGCTCATTTGATGTTCTGCACTTCCCTTTTTAAAAGAAAATCTTACCTTGCATCTGAAACTGGCTACCCCAGCCTTATTTCCTGCCGATCTTAAAATAATTCCATTTGAAAAGGAAAACGGCAACAGCAGCCTCATGCTTGCAGCAATTTTTTTAAAATGCTGCTACTCCTAGAGCATAACTGACTGTCTAGCAACCATACCAGAATTCAGCTTCTGCTTAGTTATTCCCTTTCCTTTTCCTCCCACACCCAGGTCTAGATTGTTTTGATTGTAGCTGTAGGCTGTTATGGCTGTTTGTTTTGTGGAACGAACATGTCTTAGACCACAGTTCGCTGTAGAGAGGTGTCCACACCACACACCACCACTGCAATTGGCATCAGTGTTTGTCTTTGCAGAAAGGCCTAAGACACTCAAATCTTCTAACTAACACCAAGCACCACCCAGAAAGAATGATTCTATCAATTCTTATCTGCACACACCACAGATGAAGTTCACCATCATTTTGATCACTAACCTTCTTCGCTCCCTGGCTTCTCCATTTGAGGAGTCCATTCCAGTAGTTGACGTGGCGTTGGCAGATGTAACACCATTGGCAGTGCTGAGTAAAGTGCGATTTGTGATTACACCTAGTGGAGTGCTAGCAGAGATGTTCTCTGTATTTTTCTCTACAGTAGAGTCAGTTTGTTGCCGGTATGGGGCTCTGAAAGATACAAGACATCATGGGATACAAAGCAAGTGAACTCAATTGGCTTAGAGACCCCAATTCCTTTAAGGAAACATTAGAAGCTAGGAACAAGTTTTCCCCAATTCTATGAATACAATGGTATGATGGAATGTCATAAGAAGGCATTTTTAAGGATGTCTAGAAGAATAAGCAGTAGGAGGAATTATTCCTGACATCACTGCTGATTGTTGTAGAAGTGACTGGAAAATCTGAGGGAATTTAATTGGTCAATAAGCAGGAGGAGGAATGGTCTCAAAGCTCCTGCAATTCAAAAATAAACCCTCAGTGGCACTAGAAATTACACATGCTGTAAAGAAGAGCTACCTAGAAAAATAAGGATGCATAGTTAATCACAAGTCAGGAAGTGACAAAGCTAAGGCTGTGTATGCAGTCTTAAAACAGTCTGAACACAATATATGCACTTTTTCAACTGAAATGCCTCATCAGCACCCACTGTTCAGGAGCTCATTATATAATGGAACTAATTTCCAACCAGTTTAGAATTCAGAACCTCCACCCCCAGAACTGTGTATGTCAGTTAAGGACATGAGCATTCTACCGTGTTCTCTGAATGAGCCCAGAGCCCTTACCTGGTATGCTGGCGGATTGATGCAGTAGTGTTCGCACTAAGAGATGTAGGACAGGAAGAGGCAAGTTGCCACTGGGTGCCCAATGAGGTAGATGAACCAATGGTAGTGGGTGAGGTAGCAGATGTATTACGATTGGCTGAAATGTAGGGACTGTTGAGGTCACTACTTCTACCAAATGAAGCACTGTAAAACATCACAAGATCACTCCCTTCAGCACATGGTTAACCAGTTGCTGACCATCACAGGCCCTTAGGTGAATTGGAGGGGGAATAGTTAAATCTCAGCAAAATGAATGCAAGAGACATTAGACCAAGAAGAGGTCATCGAAGAGAACACTCTGGACATATATCAATGATGCAACGATGGCCCTGCTCTGTAAGTCATGGGGAGAGAATAATGGGATGGAAGTGAATCAGGGAAGTTCAGAGAACAGGCAAAAACAAGGAAAATCCTGCTCCCACCTGTAGCAGCACCACTGGCACCACCAGTAGTGTTCTCAAGCATTGGGGAAAGGTGGAGACAATAACAGAGGATCAAATCACTTAACCCATGGAACGTATATATAGACATAGGCAGACGTTGCCTGACCCTGTTTCCAGTTGTTTATAAGTCTGACAAACTTTTTAACAGTTTGGGCTAAAATTTTCCTTGCAGGTTGTCTGCCTCAGACTGGATATTTTTGGAACATTTCAGCCAAAATGGTTCAACCATATGCAAGAATAATGCTAGGGAATTATGTTTTGCCATGTTAAAAAATTCTTACAGCTATTTCACTGAGAAACTCTAGCACCTCCGTGCTTTGAAGCAGGGACTTGACATTTGACAGGGAGGTAGACTATGTCAGGGATGTTCCTTTTGCTGTTCAAGAAAATCCACCCCAATTTGGTTAAGTTACAAGCTTCTGAAAAAGGTCAGTTTGCACATGAGCAGTAGAGACATGGAACTTTGCAGCTAAAATCTCTGAAGATTCCATCCTCACTGAGTCCCTCCCAGCTCATGTGGCTGAACTGCACATGTATCATCCTCATAAAACTACTGAGCATGCTCCAGCCCAGGACTACATAGCTGCTGACGTCTACTGAGCATGTACTACATGAGATTTTTCCAAAGACTTCTAACTTGGGTAGATTTTCTCAGGAACAGCAAGAGGCATATCCCCAACACAAAGGCCATCTGAGTCCATGCTGCAAAGCACGGGGGTACTAACACTTCTTAACGAAACTAAATTTTTTCTAACATGGACAAAACATATACTTCTCTAGTCTCATGCTCAGAAACAACTGAAAGTTTAAAAAAAAAAAAAAACAGCCAGAAGGCAGACACCTTACATGCAAAATTTCAGCCCAAATGCTAAACTTTGACCAAAGTTATACACAACTGAAAATAAGGTATGTATAATATAGGGAAGTGGTGGTCAACTTTAAACAGGAGACACTACTTGCTTTGCCTGTAATAAATTTGACCCTTCCCCTTCATTTTATGCAAGACGATGTCAGACAATTTGAGATGAAACCTGAAACTGACCTGGTTTTTCAACTGTACATGGAATACCATGTTCACATCTGGAATAGAAGTCCAGAGACTGGGCAATGAAAGTGATTAATGGGAAGCCTTTCATGCAACAATAGACTGAAATGATCAGGACTGTGTAGATCTCTCATTCCTTCTCTAAAGTAAAGAATGGTATAGACAGAGGTGTTGGGGCACTTCTATTCACCCTCAATACAAGAACAAGGGGACATTCAATTAAACTCACAGCAACATATTTAAAACTGATCAAACCTGTACAACACGTTCAAAAGCCAAGCCTGGGAGCTTAAACTCGTAACTTTGCTAGACACTAAAAATCACGGTCATAATAAAGACACTGGATTTACTGAAAGCTTGTCTCTCACCAACTGAAGTTGGTCCAATAAAAGATATTACCTCACCCACCTTGTGTCTCATGCATAATGAAAACATTTTCAATTATATTACACGGGGCATAGCCCTTCTATATTTTTGTCCTAAGTATGAGAGCCTAGGGAGGAGTAGGAAGAAGCTGATCATATGAGCAGGGTAGTCCATTTTGGAGTATCCGGCATCTTCCTCTGAAGTATCAAGTTGCTGTCAAAGGATCCTAGACTTGTTTGATTTGCGATGTCAATTCTTGCATGTTTTAGCATCAGCAAGTGACCTGAACTAGACCTTTAAGGCCAGTCTATACTCAGAAATGGAAGTGTTATGGTTGGTTGTCAGCAAGGGGCGCTGAGAATTGTTTCACCACTGTTGTGTGCACATAGGAGGAGGTTGGGGGGGGGGGCAGGTGCGGAGAGGGAATGACTCTTTCAGCATCACTGAGAAATATTCTTGTCATTTGCCAAGTCTAAAGAACACCTTCCGCAATAATAATGAAAACAGCTGTCCCCTCCTCACTAGCAGGAAAGCCCTTTTCAGCACTGATGCAGGGGGATCTGTCACTAATAGCTGGTGTCCACTATGGGTCCATTTGCAAACATAGAGGAGCATTTATACAGTTTAAATGAATGTGTTTGAGATCAATTAAAGCAACATGTGTGGGAAATGCAGAGATTAAGAAGAAAACTTAAGGTCTCAACATGGAGCAGCCTTGTATTCCTCATTAAGCCACACTGAAAAATTGTGGAGATTTTTTCCATTAACTACATTAAAGTATGGCACGTCCATTTTAAAGGCCCATCCTAAGATAAAGGGAATTGATTTTACAGATCTATTTAGAGACTTTGTAGTACCAGGAAGTCACGTTTCTAGTGACAAAATGTTACCTTACGTGAAGGACAATCAGATTCCCTTCCTCATGCTACATGCCGGTGTATGAGACTAGAGTCTTTCACAACCTGTAAGTCTTTAACATTTCATACATGATCTATAAATAGTTAGCATTTATTTGTTTCTCTGTACTTTACAATGGAGGGGTATTTGAGACTACTATACAAACAGATCACAAGTTCACTCTTAGAGCATAAGATGCACAAGTTATCACCTTGGTTTTGTAGCCACATATAGCTGCACATTCTTCCTATTATGTAAAGATATTCTCCCTTCAGATGAATGTTTAAATGAGGCCTTTCATAGGAAATAACTTGACTGTGTGCAATTCCAAAAGTGGTCTGTGCCAGCCAAAGCTTCAGCTAGTGCCTCTGAGTTTAATCATGGCACCATGGGGCGGGTTGGGTAAATATTCCTTGTAAATCTGATTTTGGATTAGCTGAGTCACAAAGCAAGAAAGTTTTAAAATCCCAGCAGAATTGAGGTTGTTCAGTAACGTTACTGACCTGAACCATGTCAGCTAAAGTGACAACATCTATGTTATGTCTAAGAGACAATCTGGCAGCAGAGGAGAAAGTCTTGCAACCAGCTGCCACCTGTCTGACTGTCAAGTGAGAAAGAAGCACACACCGTTGGCTGGCGGCATCAGATCCCAAGATAGATGTAAATTCATTGGAATGGAACACTGCCTCACAAGAAAGGTCTCCTGCTTTGAAAATATTCAGCTGCTTCCCCTTGTGTATGAATAACTCCATTTACTCAGCAGCTAGATAGTCATATCCTATGAAAAGGCTGAGTTTTGCTATCATCCCCTAAACACTAGAACACAAGGAATATGGTAACATTCACAAGAATCTCCCTCACCCCATATATTCAGAGTTACGCCACATTAAGGACAAATTATTCAGTTTGAGGGTCTAGCACTTGGAAAAAAGCCTCATCTAAAAAGAAACCTGTCATCTAAAATTGTAAACTTTACTTCCCTTGCACTAATGATCTGTGATGGTTTTACAGACTCAAGTTTTAAGCAACACACTTGTGAGTGAGCCTGTCATTTCACAAGGCAAGTTCAGGGGTGAAAATTTCACCATCCCCCTTCACTAGGAGCAAGTTTCCTCCCTCTCTCAATTGAGATGAGAGAAGTCTAGAATAGAACGGTTGTCATAATGGCCATTGGTCCATTCAGTCCAGGAGCAGTCAATACCAGGTGAACCTCTCCCTTCCAAACTGATAATGGACAGGGCCAACTGGGAAAAGCTGTATGCAGAGCAAATTTCTTTCCTGACTCTGCCTTCCCATCCCATCAGCAAGCAGCAGTTGCCTATGTAGAGTGGCACATGCACCTGCACAAAAGCTATTTTCCTGCTGCCAGAAGAAATGGACTATGTTGGCTGATTTTGGATACCAGTCACATTCCTCACAAGTCTCGCTGTTAATGCTCATGAACTCTGGAGCACTCATTTTCTGCTCCAGCTGCTGGCCTTGGACTTAAGAGAAGCAGCACAGACAGGAGAGAAGAGAAACAGGAATGCTCCAAGTTATTTTTGGATAGTTTGTTATCCAAAGTTGTGCAGTAACGTGCAACACCATTAGAAATGGACTCCCAGACCTGTTTAGGGCCCCCACAAGACTGCATTTTACAATTCCGTTAAGCCAAGGGTGCAGTAAGAGGAATTTTGTTTTTAGCGATCTAACACAATAACAGCAATATAATTTGTTGAAAAAGTTTGCATCTGAATTATGCGAACACAATTTTTAAAGTTTAGCCCAACGTTTTAAAATCCATGAAAATCTAAGTCGCAGACGACAGGGTTTATAATGAAAAAGCTAAGCAGGCCTGGATGTTTGCTGCTGGGTGCGGGAAAGCAATGAGGACACCAAGGCCAGCCACACTAATGCAGCAATTAGAAAGAAAGCAACCACTCAACAGCCTGGATGGCATGTTAAGAACTTCAGTTTTGCTCAGTAAGCAACTTATTTTAACTGTTACAGGTGGTACCTTTTCAGGTAGGTAGATACATAGGTGGAAGGTGCACCAGTCTGGGGGGCTTCGTTTCCCTTTGGTTCATCCCTCCACGGCTGCCGGGTGTAGGAGCCACTCCTCACCAGGTTAACAGCAGATTCTCTGTTGAGGCAGAAAAGAGCACTTCGGCAGTTTAAAAAGACTCTGGAGCCATGTTGTCGTGGTTTATCACACTGCTGAGCACGAAGTTAAGTGCTGGAGTCTCAACATCCAGTGGCAAGAGCAAAGAGCCCTCCACATTCAGGGAATACAAACCCTTTTCAAGCTACAGTCCTGATTCACCACAGGGATAACGGGGACATTTTGATTAACTATTTCCCTTAAAATTAGCTCTGGTAATTGCCAAGTATTTATTACTTATTTAATGTCACAAGAATGTATAGTGTTTTGCACACACATTAACACAAGGTCTCTGACCACAAGCACTTGATCCAAATTCAGACTGTTTATAGAAAATCACTTCATACATTAGACCTAGAAAGATCTTGCTCTCCCTGCCTCTCTCTTTTTACCTTCTGAGACATCAAGGACTGGTCACTGCCAGAAACAGGATACCAGGCCACGGATCAATGGCCTGAGCTAATATGGTAAGTCTTAGGCTATTGACTTAGAAGCCAGGAGCAGCATGTATAAACATTTAGCAACAACTAGAACTATGTGCCATGATTCAGAAACAAATGAATGCCCCTACGAGTGTTAACGTGTGAAGGAGCAGGGGAATGGGATCTAAGAATCTGAGCTCAAGTCCCTCACTCCCATGCTGGAAGTATCTTGTGTGTTGTTCTCCGGCAATTGCCTCTCACCAGCTATAGGAATCAGAACCTATTTGTAGCATGAGCTAATATGCTTCAGAGCTCCCAATTATTTTTCAATTTTGATTTCAAGCTATTCGTGCTGTTTTAATTCAAGCCTCTAGAGCATTCCATGAAGCACTGATTTGGCTGGTGTTAAAAGAAAAGTACTGGAAAAATTGTGTCACACAGTATACTGTGAATACCATCTGCTAATATAGCCTGATCCTTCTTCATCCTACAGAGCAAGGGACACTTAGCAGCAATCAGCTGGGTACACCACAGTCTGAGGCTCTGTTCAAAAACACTCAGCTTTATCAGTCATCCCTCCTGTAATTTCAAATACAAATTGTCTGCTAAGATCCAAATAATGGTGGCAGTTTGAGACTGAAGCTAGAGCACGGCAAGCAGGATGTAACAACAGTACAGAATCTATAATTGCTGTGAAACTGTTTCTCAGAGCCTATTTGGTGTAACTGCTTCACAACTATTATAGTTTGTGCTGGCTCTACAAATGAAGCCGAGCTCAAATCTTACTCCCTTTAGATCACATTGCAAGGAACCCACTGGAGGCAGCATTTCCCCAAATAATCATGTTATGAGACAGATGCTGCTTCCATTTTTATACTGCAGCAGCAGCAATGAGTAACCAAACAAGACTTGGGGCCCCATCCTGCTAGGCACTTTACAGACACACAGAAGAGTCCCTGCACCAGAGTTCACAAACTTAAGCTACATCGAGAAGCAACTGGTGGACAAAAACAAATGGGATGGAAGAGATGATGTTTGAGCAAGTTACAGTACAATAAGCAGGGGTCTCGGATAGAGCTCAAATTTAGACTTATTTTAGAGGACAAGAAGGCATCTGCATAGTATCACAATGGAGGGGAAAGATGTGTGTATAATCATCGTTTTCAGCATTTCACATTTTAAATTCTGAAAGTGTGCCAATAATTTAAGAGTTTAGGGAGCAGATACTATCGCCTACTGAGGGAAGGGCCCATTAAATTCACTTTTCATAAAATGTTGCCAGATTTCAAGCCATATCAAACACCTGTGCGCTTGGGAGTGATGAGTGAAAACTATGAAGCAAGAACACAAACAGCAGAAAGGCATTTCCAAGGATTAAATTCCAGCAGAATCTTCACCAGAATAAAATCTGAGCCTTAAATTCAGTCCAAGTCCTACCTGTTTTCCTTTTCTTCTATGTCACCCGTACTGCTTAGTCTTCTAGGGGCTATGGGGGCAAAGTAGTTTTTGCTGTCCTTATCCTGAAGGAAAAAACAAAACACTGTATTTCAAGATAATGTATATTCCACATGGAAGTTACATCTTCAATGGCATTCAGCAACACCTCTGAATTAGTGTTTCCATTCTTGCTTCTAAAAGTGAGTCAGTTTTTAATTTTTCCAAATTTGCCTGTTTTCAAGGCCTTTGCTCCAAGTTTAAAAATTGGCATGGAGGAGTCAGCTTGGAACCATTTCAAGAAATAGCCCAAAAGATCTGTTTTCTAGAATTTACCATATGTTCTTTTTAGAGAGTTGGCTTCCCTGGCAACTAGCATGGTAAAGGTGAGGCTAGTAATTGAGGGCAGCTTCTAAATTAAGATAGATCGTGTGTAAATGGGCAGCAGAGCTGAATGGATGGAGAGCACAGTGAGGAAGACTTTAGATTCAGAGCAGAACAATACCTACTGTGAACACAGGTCACTCACTGGCTGGATTAGACATTCCCCACTAAAGTATGTGGGATGCCAAACTGCCGGGGGATTGCTAGGCAGGCTCCAAATTAGGTAGGAAGGGGTAAAAGGAATGCTTTGGCTGAATTCCAACAATTTTGCATGAACTACCAACATAGAAAGTAAGATGGCGTACTTTTCAAAACAGGAGGAAAGTATAAATGTACTAAAGCATCTGAACACAGATTCAAGCAGCATGAAAAAAAGCTGCAAGAAGAATGACAGGGGCATTAAATTATGGAGATTACGAACGAGTGGCCATAACTGAAACCCAGTGGGATGACGCTCAAAAGTGGGATGGTCTTACAGATGGGTAAGCTGATTGACGCTGCTTGGTAAGCACCCCTCAGATGGGATTCTCTACAAACTGTTTTGAGGGAAAAGAGACCTTTTCTTTGTTGTCTAATAATGCAGAAATCCGGGGACTCGATGAAGAGCGGTAGATGGAGGAACCTCTCTCTCTCAGTGCCTCCCGGGAAGCAGCTTCACTTAGCATATTGTGGCTGCCAGTTTTCCGTAGACCAAGCCTCCAAGATGAGGGAGATTCATCCTTTTGCTCCTCTGATTTGTTGAGCAAACTGGTGAACTGCGGTGGGAGAAGACAACAGCGGGTAGGAAGCTAGGGTACTGCAGACAGTATATCATTTAACTTCCCTGAGAGTTTTACTATGTAGGTTACACTTTAAAGCATGAGATTCAATGCAGTCTCTAGCGATAGCTAGACACATATACACACACACAATTCTAATCTGTAAATGTAAGTTAAGGTTAATTAGTATATAGAGAGGGAATAAAAAGGTGTAATATAAAGGTTTTGTCAGCATGTGTTTAAGAAGGGTGCACTACTCAAGAATGGCAAAGGCCCAAGTGCCTTATGCAGCTCATCCCACATGAGTGCAAGTGAACACTTCATATGAGAAACCATGCAACCGTGTATTCTGTACATGCTGCTCTGTATTGGTTTTATTATGGACTTCAGCTATACAACCACATACTATTTCCTCAAATATAAAATTGTTTCACAACTTTGTTTCAGCTACAGATATGTACCATGTTGTAGTACTGGCATATTTCTCTATGTATGCTAGAGAGATCCATGAAAATAATCAGTACTAGAAGATCCATGAAAATAATCAATACTAGAAGAGGGAGGCTCCTGCAGAGCATCTGCCTCCATCTACTCATGTGCAAGGTTATAGGAGAGATGTGTATTTTTTTTGCTGTACCTGTGTAGTACGCACTCATTTAACACTACTGCAATGCATATTTACAATGGGACAGTTAGTTTGCACACGGGACCTTAATTCTGGCATTTCGAGATTTGTGTACTTAACTGCAACCTTCATGTTTTTTTAAAGTGGTTTTGGATGGATTTCACTCCAAAGAAAAAAAAAGCTAAACACTACCGGATTACCTTAACCCACGTACCTCATGAAGACCTTACAGCTATTAGATTTTACCTTACAAGACACAGTGAGGCCACTATACTGACATTTCCCAGCAAGAAATCTAGTCTGATGGTAGCGAGACACAGAAAAAGCTCGAGAGGCAGGAGACAGTTGTAAGCGAAGTTGTGTTAATTAAGGGATTTTGGTTAATCTGATGAGTGGGTACACAAGGAGTTTATCTATAAAACAAACGTACACCTACTCTGTGTTAGCCCACTTCAATTAATCAAAAGTCTCAAACTACTGAGATTTCGGATTTTCATACTTGCATAGGAAGCGCTCATCGGCTTGAGGTAGCTGCAATGCATGCAGCAGGGAAAGGGTTAACTGCACTATTCATAGTTGCTCTCTCTCTCTTCCTCATCACTTGCCTGGTTAAGTAAATTTAAGTTTATGCCATAGGGAGTGCTATCTTATTTGCTCTGGGCAAGCAATTAGGCTGACTGGCACATACAAAACAATTCATGACTAACTATGAAACCTCTTGCATCTCTCATATCTATTAGCTCACTCTAAAAAAAATAACCTAGCATATAACAACCTGCACTTCAGTGTACGAACCTGAGATGTTAAGCACAGGGCCACCAAAAGGAAGGCAAGATATGAAGGTTACTCAGCTGTAACTGGAAGTTCTTTGACGTGTACGGTCCGTATCTGTATTCCAAACATGGGTACGCCCATGTTCCTTGTGCCTGAGACCAGAGAATTTGCACGTTGTGTCTGTAGGTCTGCGCCTGAATCCTAGAGCTCCAAGGGTGTAAGGAGAGGTGCGGACCAACTGCTTCTCCAGATCCTTCGCTATCGCGAATCTAGTCATGATCCAAAGCAGAGGGGAAAGAGGGCGGGTAGTGGAATACAGATTATGGTCCCGTCAGGTGTGCACAAAGAATGCTAACTCCAACATGCACCTACTCCAGGTTCATCTACCATACCAGGAAAGCCGTGACCTTGGCAAAGATTGTTACTTTGGTATTCATTTAGTCTCTGTCTGATAAGTAAACAGCCCAAAGCCAGCCTGTACACAGAGGTGAAGCCTGGTGAATGGCGTTATGCAAGTACACAAGGCCATGTGGGCTAGCAGAGAAAGACAGACCTTGACTGTAGTTTGAGGTCTGAGGGTGACTTGAATTAAGCTGTTCATGGCCTGAAATTGGTCCATAGGGAGATAGGCCCTTGCTGAAGTCAGTTCTTTGGTTGCTTCTACAAAGTCTAAGGTTTTTGTGGGACTCAAAGTAGACTTTTCTCTGTTTACACAAATTCCCAAGGATGTCAGAAGGTGGAGCAAAGATAGGATGGCTGATTGAACCTCCTGATTGGATCTGCCCATTAGGAGCCATTCATTCAGGTATGGGAAGTTGGTATAGCTGTTTTGACTCATCTGGGCCACCACCATTGTGAGGTTGCCAGTCCAAACAGAAATCTGAGGAACCTTCTGTGGGGCAGATGAATGCCCACATGAAAGAAAGCATCTTTCATGTTGAGAGCCATGAGCCACATGCCCTTCTCCAGGAAGAGAATTATCAGTGCCAATGTGCACATGCAGAATTATGATTTGCGAATAAAAATATTCAGCTGATGTAGGTCGAAAATGGGTCTTCATCCTTCTTTTTTCTTGGAGACTGAAATATAGGGTGTAGAACCCTTTTCCTAGATGCTGAGGTGGCACTTACTCTATATCCCCTCCTTGGAGGGGACAGTCCACCTCCTTATAGAAGATTTCCTCTTGAGGGTGGTCCCTGGAGATGGGCCAGGAAAGGGGTTTGCAAGGGGGAAGGAGATAAACTTGATGGCATAGCCAGAGTGGATGGTATCCAATCCACACTTATCCATTGTTATTGCCCTCCAACTGTAAGTGAAAAATGCGAGGGGGCCACTAAAGGTTTGGGGGGGGGGGGCAGTTGGAGATGACATCAATAAATGTATGTAGTTCTCAAGCATCCTGTCAAAAGTAACCTCTAGTTGGTGGATGGGGCTGAGTGGCTGTGGTTGAAAGAGCTGCCTACCTAGGGCTTTGCACCTTCTGACATTGCACGGCAGGTCGTAAGGGTGCTGGCAGTAGAACAGCTGAGGGAGAGGTCTTGGTTTATACATCTTTTTGTGGTGTTTCCTCTTTGGTGCTGGCTATAAATACCCAGGGAGTGGAGTGTCATCCTGGAGTCTTAATGAGCGCAGTGACTCATCCGCCTTTTCGTTACAGAGGTTAGACTCAAAGGGCAAGTCCTCAATGGGATTCCTCCCTGAGGAACCCCAAACAGTGAAGCCATGATTCATGCCTCAAGTATCACCGTAGCAATAGCTCTAGATGTGGTATCAGCAGTGTCCATTGCAAATTGAAAAGAAGTCTTAGCTACCAGTTTGCCTTCAACAGTGAGGGCTTGGAATTGGACCCTGTCCACTGATGGAGTGTCTTCGAACTCCAAGAATTTGGAGTAATTTGTAAAATTGTGCTTTGCTAACAGGACCTGGTTGTTAGCAATTCTCAGCCTTTTTCAGGGTGGGGGTGCAAGATGCAGAAGTATGCCATACCGCCCTGGTTGGTTCCATGATGGCCTCATTTACTGGGAGGCCCACCTGACTGGGGCCAGTGGGCTGCAAGATGTCCATGAGCTTATACTGCATATCATGGATCTCCTGGAGTGGAATCTGGAGTTCAATTGCCACACTCTGCAAGAGCTCTTGGTATTGCCTGTGGTCTTCAGACAGGGATGCTGAGGATGGAGCAATTGCCTCATCAGGCAAAGACGATGACATCTGTCAGAACCGGTTGATCCAGCTCCATTTCCTCCTTCCACGTGCTCTGATGGAGCCAGTTGGCGTTGACTAGGAGGAGAGGGCCGGCGGGATTCACGCATAGATCTGGAGTGTCTCTAGCATAGGGATCCCATGGATCCCAACAGGGCCAGTATGAAGTGTCAACTGGTTGGGGGGGGGAAATCTCAATGCAGTGGAAACCATCGGTCCCCTAGGTGGTCACGTCTGGGCATAGGATGGGTCCAAGATCTCCTGCTGTCTCTGTCTGAGCCAACCCCCTACATGGAAGCGATGGCTTGTCTGGACATCAGAATCAACCAATGAGAAGGTAAATTCTGGCTCTGTTGGCCGTACTGGTGGATGAATGCTTCAATTCATCTATGGAATAGAGGACTAGTCCCTTCTCCTCAAGAGTTGTTTCTTCTTTCTTCTTCTGTTGTTGAGGTGTCCCCCTCAGGAGGATCACACCAGAAAGGAGAGGAAACAGAGGACAAGGTAAGGTAAAAATATCCTCAAAAGAGGTAAAAGTTTCAGTCCCTCCCAGAACACGAGGTGTCCCAGTGATTGGGACTGATGGTGCTCAGCGGATCCTTCTGGGAACAAGTCAGTACAGTTGAAGAGGAGTCTATCCTGGAGCTCCCAGTCAGTGCTGGCAGGTGCCGATCCTTTGGCTTTCAAGTTGTGAGCCAGAGCCAATACCGATAAGGCTTTTCTCCTTCACACCTTACCCTCATGGTCAGGAGGTTTAGGCAGACCTGAGTCTTTAGGATCAACACGAGGACTCACCTGACTCTGTCCAAGTCAGGGAGGGATCCTTCTTTTAGAAGCAAATGTGGAAAAGGATCTATGAAAGTGCCCCTAACTCTCCTAAGAGGCCTGAGGCAATGATTACTCTGACTTAACAGCCCTGGCCTCTGCTTCGGAGCTCATGCTCAGAGGGGCACTGCCTGCAGACCGAGGCCTATGTACCAGAGGGTTCACCTGCCAGGCTCTGACTGGGTCTCATGACTTTCTCCATGAGGTACTTCCTCAGTTGAAACCCTTGTCGCCTCTCAGGTTTGGGGAGGGAAGCAGAGGCAGATGCTGCACTTAGCGGAGATGTGAGCCTCCCCAAGACACTAAAGGCAGCACTAGCCATCATCGCTGACTGAGATGGGGCAGGGGCAAGAGATGTTTCTTAAATCCCAGGACTCTAGGCATGGTCCTTCTGAGGGGAGTGAAAAGAAATGGAGAGGGGAGGCCCCAAGGTGGGAGCGGAGAGCAGGGGGACTAAACTACGCTAATTAAAAGACTGAAAACACTAGAAACTATACACTATGATATTTACAGGTACGAAAACAGTGCAAAGGTGGCTCTGGACATAGGATTCCGACTCAGGCTGAGCAACAGTAAGAATGAACAGGAGAGGCGGTTGGTCTGCACCTCTCCTTATACCATTGATACTGAGCACAAAGAACACCAGGGCCCAAAAACGGACCAACAGACACTACTTGCAAATTCTCCAGTCTCGGGCATGTATGGAATACACATAGGGACCACACTCATGGCTCCTGCTAGCCAAGTGGATTTAGAGTCAGAAGAGGTTTATGTCTAATCTCAGTAGCTATAGAGAGCTTCACTCGAGGGAGAGGGGGGGAGAATATCATTGCCAGAGAAATGACAAGCAGTCTCCCCTCTACCTCATTAGTGTAGCATCATAGCTCATACAGTGCCATCAAGTCTGGGGCAAGTTATGTAACCTGGATGGATCTTCAGGCTATGTGCTTCAATACCAATTGCATTGTTGTCACATTGCCATGAAGGGCAAAAACAGGAATTTTACCAGTCCCTTCCATAAGGACAGTTTCAATGGAGTTCTCTCTGTTGCAGTATTTTCTGCTGAAAGGAACTAGGGGAACAGATGTAGACAAAACTGCTTCTGTCACCAAACAGGCAGTGGGGTCCTTCCTGGCCAGAGAACCAGGAGTACTTGTTAAGCAGTAACGTGTTGTTGTTTTTTTAAATGGCCCAACTTATTTCAGAGGGTGACATAATGGAAAGACAGCACACCAGACAAAATTAGCCCTATTTGTGCATGTCCCAGACTATTATGCCGTTAACTGTGCCTCTTTGTTAAAATCAGAGAGAGAATAGTATCTGATTGTAAGTCTTGCAACCTCTCTGAACACCAGTTTAAGAAAATCTATTCTCCAGTGCACCCAATTGCTTTAAAGCAACAATGGAATGCACAGTTGGACTCTAAGTCAATCCCCAATTCACTTACTTTTCTGGCAGGAGCTGCGGTGAAGGAGTTATGTTCTGGTGGTGGTATTTGCTCAGTGACGCTAGTCCTGGGTTCATGACCAGAATGGTTGGCAAAGGACTCTTTCTTTCTCTCTACAATTTTAGACAAGGGAAGAAAAAACAAGGTGTTTGAATGTTGCATTTATAAACCACTTTCCCTTTACCACTGTGATGTGCAAATAAGCAGACCCAGAGCCTGTGTAATAACAGAACATTCTAGTTCCCCACACTCAGAATAAAGGGAAGCATCCCTAAGTCTACTCATTGAACAAAAGGTATTTCTGCCCAGTCCTAAAACACCTCTGCACTAAGTGGTTACAGCTGAAGCATGCTTTTACAGAGCCATCTATTTCACACCCAGCAGGTAAACTGCCCTTTCTTTCCTGAGAGCGTTTGAGGCCAGATAACAGGCTTCATTCATTAGATTTCCTTTAACTGATCATTCTTGCCAGACATATGGGTTTGAGAACTAGACTAAAGTATTCCTGCAATGCCGAAATATACGTAGTGCCATGCATGTCTGAGTCAGTCAGGTGAGGGATACAATGACATGGTTCTGCTGGATATTCACCATGGGTTTGGGGCATAGCTCTTGCAAAGAGAGGAAGATGGGAATCCAATGGCATAACTTATTTTTCATTTCTGTGTACAGCTGGGACTATCTGATCACTCTGGAGATAGTCAAGAATAAACTAACCCAAAACAGCCAGATCCTGTGGCTACCTAGTTGCTCCATTCTACAAGCTCAAGCTTCCACCATTAAGGCTTTTTGATTTCTATTCAAGACAGATGCCTCTACCCCTAGAATATAGCATTCGGTTCCGAACACCTTGTTACCTAAGGACATGGGTGGCACGTATCGTAAGCTGGGGAAGGCTATGCCTCCCCAAACAGCCCTGCATGGCCTCACCCACTCTCTGCCCCAAGGCCCCCTCCTGCTTGCTGCCTCCCCTTTGGCCCCAGCCCAGGCAGGCTGCTCCTTTTTGAGGAAGCGGGCTGGGGCTGGGGCTAGGGCGGCCAGCCTGCGGCCGGAACTTGGGGCAGGCTAGGCGGGCGCTGGGGCTGTGCCGCCTGGAGCTTCAGGGCTGGGGGTGCTGGGCCTGCAGTACCCCCAGCGCTGGGGCCGCCCACCTGGCACAGTTTGTCTTGCACTTGTTTTATCTTTCAGTAGCAGTCTGAAGCAGGCTAGTACACAAAGATACAGTGCAGCACTTTTTGTGCACTGCTGTTCGCTCCTCAGGGACTGGGGAACTTCTCAATTTCACTTGGCTGCCTCCACTCACTTTGAGCAAATCAGAAAGCTGAGCAGAGATAGGGCTCTAAACTCCTGTACGAGTTGTAAGAAATAAGGCCAAGACAAAAAACTCTGGGCTCTTTTGCCTTCTCAAGTTTTCATACCAGAGTCAGCAATTAAAACACATCTGTGTTTTACATATGGGAAAGCTACTTTGCACCAAGAGTTGCCAAAACAGGTCTGCTCTGACTTTAGTTTAACTTCAATTCCCTGTTTGTATAATGTTCATCCACACTGTTTCTGAAGCTGATACACTATGTGACACCACTTCCTGCAGCAAAACCACTCCTTATAGGCAGGCTTGGAAGGATTGACTACATTTTTTTAAATCAGTAAATGTCAGTAAACGTCGATTTTACTGTACAAACAACAAATTTTTCCCTCAATAATCAAAATTTACAGATAGGCAAAGCTAAGAAAAATGCTACTTGGGAACTTACTAGTTTGATTTAAGGCTATTTACTGTACTTTGTATATTTTGACATGCAATGTTAACAAATTTGCTTTAATGGCTATAAAGCGTTAATTTTTTGAATCTTAATGTCTGTCATTAAGTAATTGTCTGATCCCCCCATAATTTCCCACAGCTGAAAATTTAATTTGAAAATAAAAAATGTGAATACCTCATAATTGTGAAACTGAAAATTTAAAATGGATAAAAATAAAAAATGCTTAAAACAGATATTATCCCTCAAAATTATAAAAAAAATAAGTCATTCTGCCAAGCTTACTTGTTGGTGTTTCATTTAAGCCCCAGCTTTGCTTGCAAGACCTGAGATTACAAGACAAAGTTGCTGCCTATTAAAACTCTATTTTAATTAGAAGAGCAACTACACATGGACTAAAATCCATATGACATTTATTTTATTTACATACCAAAAGACTTAATTTTAAAAAATGTTTAATCTTGGTCATTAACATACACAAAGACTTTTTTTTTTTAAACTGCCAGTTCTGCCAAGATCAACCTAGATGCTTCGGTCCCTTTAACTCATCATCCATCTTCAAGTTTGTCCAATCAGAGCCCAAGTGATAGTTGTTTCGCTGCCAGACAGAAGCCAGGTTGTGCTTCCATAGCTGTTTGACAGTTTTGTAGTGCTCACTGGAGTAAAGATTTATTGATTAGCACACTAAGGAAATAGACCGAGTAAGGTGCAGTTATAACCCATAGCCACACTAACTCTTGATCAATATTCTTCTTCCTTGTCTAGTGAAAAAAAATGCAAATATATTGATAAACTAAGTACCATTATCATCCAATGAAATGCTGTTTTGTAGCTTTCTAAAGTCATTGTTTAGAACAACCGGGATCCTAACAGTCTTACATCTATAGAACACTAGGGGGGGAGACTTGTTTTCTGTTTTTATTCTGGGGATGAAAGCTAAACAGTGTCACAGGAATCTGTGGTCAGCCCCTCTTTGCAGAGATATGGGTAAATCAGGAAGCAGAGACCTAAATATGGTCACTTGAACAACACGTGCACCTCACACACCCTGACTAGGTTCCTAACTGAAGCCACAGAGACGTTATGAAGAAACCAGGAGCTTGGAACTCCAGCAGTTAGCAGCAGCATCTAAAGCCTGAGATTACATTATGTACTTAGTGAATCCATTATTTTTCAACAGACTGAAACCTTTATACACCAAGATCAGAAAAAGCTTTCCCTGCTCCCATGTGTTGATGGAGTATTTAAATGTAACAGGAAATAAGTTTCCATTTCCTACGGTTTATTTTTCCTGAAAACACATTTTTAGTCCTTTATCTAGAACAACAGCAAGTGGCTTTTACCGAGCAGCATTAAAATGAGTTAACTAGAAGACCAACTTCTAGACACACCTTCATTCAGTTCATTATATTCAAGGTACAATAGGAGTACTATTTTCTCTACACATTGAACTGGTTACTCAAAACCTCTCATTCACCAAAATTTTTACCTTTAAGGGGGAACATAAGCAAGTAAGGCTGGAAACTAACGAGAGCCCCGTGTTATTCTCAAACATGAAATAACCACAAAATAAAAAAAAAACAACGATGTATAAAATGAAAAAAAAAAAAAATCAAAAGCTTCTAATCAGCCAGGAGAGAGTCAGTAGCCAATGGCAGCACCCATGAGCACAAATGGTGAGCTAACTGGATCAATTCCACCAGAGTGCACTCAGCCAATGGCAGGTCCCGTACAGGTCACATGCGTGCTGAGCAGGTGGGGGTCAGCAGGAGGATTTGGAGGCTGTACAAAGAGTGTGGAGGGGAAGGGGATGGAGGAGGGGGTGAGGGGTGTGTGAGGAGGCAGGGCTGATAAAACAAAAACACAAAATTCCCAAAAAATAAAATGAAAAAAAAAATCTAAAAACAAAGTTTCACGGGGGTCTAACTACTGCCCATCCCAAAGTTAGCGTTGTCTGGTGGGGAAGGCCATCCAAAAATGTAAAGCATTTTAACATTTAAGCTGAGGAAAAGGCACCGTTTATATACGACCTACATAACATTTTGTGTTGTCCTGATGCAGAGCTGATGGAGAACATAAATTAAAACCTACCCCCAGATCTTTACTGATACTTATGCTGATCTATGAGCCAGTAAACAAAAAGGAAAATGTCCTGTTTGCATTTAGTGCTTGAAACAACAACGCTGGTTTGAAACATTTGGCAAGATGAAAGTTTTCATCCCTCTAAAAGGGTCTTGCAAAGTTGTATTAAATGAAAGGACGGGGCAAGGACTATTAAATTTGCTTTCTAGCAATTCTAATTTTGGGTATTGAGATCAAATTCTAATTTCTCACCTAAGAAGTATTCATCTGTTTTAAAATAAATTTAGGGTCAATAAAGTCAGGTCTTCCATTTTTTAAAAGATGTCTCACTATACAGTTATCCACCATATGCTATACCAGTCCATGTGATTTACTTAGCAGCTCATCTCATCTGAAGAAACATTTTTAAAATGCATTTAGCCTTTGAAAAAACAGTGAGCGGGACTCCCTAGCTGAGGCCTCATATCTTAATTAATTAACTAAAATCTCAGTGTTGCATTATGCATTACCTGCCTCCTTTTCAGCATCTGATTCTGAAGCCTCATCCTCTTCGGCTTCCTCCTCTTCCTCAGAGCTGGAACTGCTCGATTCCTTGTTCTCCTCTTCTGGTTCCCGGGACTTCAGAGTGTCTTCTTCATAAAGAATCTTCTCTTTGCTGAGACAAATAGGAGTTTTTAAGATGTGCCAACAGGGGGGAAATCAGCTATTTGTGACCTTTACTCTTAAGGAACCTGCAGATAAGTCACTACATCTAGAACAGGTAAGCACACAAGTATCTCTTACACACTTCTGCTCCCCAGTATTTCCTACCCAGTACATTTGCTATTGGTGAAATTCCCGATCCTGCATTCCCCATGCTGGCAGGGACAGCTCCACTCACCCTGGGGAGATGTGGACTAGACTGCCTTATGTTACTCCAGGGCAATCCCTCTAGCTGTACTAAAAGGTTTCAAATGAGATCATCAAGTCCTCAGCCAGAGGCTGGAGATAGCTACACAGGGAAGACAGGAGTGTGGGAGACTGTAGAAAAGACAAAAGCTACACCAGCTATTTTGTGGGTCTTACTTTTTGAAGAGTCCACTTTGCAGTTTGCCATTCACGTCAGCTTCAATTAGCTTGTTTCTCGTCTCCTTCTCACTGCGCAGCTGTCAAAAGGTGGAAGAAGAAGGGGAAGGTCATGTTTGAACAGGCATCAGCAGCACGAGCAGCTCGTTATCAGTCTGAAGTCATCCCAAACCTCATTCTGAGGAAGTAGCAGGTGTTTTTCCTTGTTAAGTGCTTTGTCGTTGCTCAATTTGACAGGCAAACACACATCTATAAGCGCACCGCATCATGGCCAGGAATAGCTATAACAGCATAAGGTAGATACCAGGTACATTGTTACACTCAAGTGTCATTTCATGGGAAATTCCATGGAAATCAGCAACAGTGCTGACGGAGGGGAGTCCCCTTTGACCCTAAGGGTCAGATACTTGCCCCAGATGTACTGCCCTGTTCTTTCAAGCACATGCACAGAATTGGGGTGGGGGAGAGGGGAGGTTGTCATCAAGTGTCAATTCCTGCAGTGATGGAAGTGTTTTGGCCAACTGGTTCAGGAAATCTCGTCACCAGTGATTCCACTGGGGATGGATAAACCAGCAGCAGCATGGTAATAGTCAGGGTAACTCCCAGGAGCTATAAGCATGTTTTTAGGTAGAGCAGAAAGAGACTGTAATTCTAGTGCTGTCGTGCATTTTGAGGATCATTCTGAGCCTGAAAATCCCACTAAAAACCCCTCAGCCTGGCACTCATGTTCTTCAAGTGAATGTATCCTGGAATCCCAAAATTGTAAACACTGCAGTGCAGGGTTTATAGGATTGGAAAACATTGCGCGACCCCAGAATTGGATGCCTTAAGCTAACAGAGTACTCAAGGCAGTGCTATAAGGGGAGGTTGACTGGGGTAGCTAGGTCTGTTCAGCAGAAAACTTCTCCCCTCCTTCGCTTCTTCTCCACACTGTCCAAGGTAAGTTACAAGTGCTTCCTCTGCTGATAGAGGCCCAGAATCCCTCTGGACAGGTAAGAAGCAGAAACATACTCGCATCTTTGAATGCACAAAAACTAACAGACATAGACTCAGGGAAGCCTTTCATGACTTGAAATAAGGAGCTTCTCCTATGAGCTCTGAGTGCCTCATTTAGCCTAAGGTTAGGTGAGAATACAGAAGACATCCCACCATTTTTCCTGGTCCTGCCTGAAAGAAATATGGCCAGATTAAGAAATTTGTGTATGGTCAGCTCATGCATGCTATAGCAGTTTTTTATGCTATATGCAAGAGAATTTGTAGGTGTAATTTGATTTTTTTTTCTTTTTTTTTTTTTTAAATTAGGAGTGCAGTTTTCTGCATTAGGCTGGTTCACACTTCCTGGGAAAAAGCCTAAAGAACCCTGTTTACATATTAGTTTATCAATTCCCCTAATTTGCTGAGAAGATGGCTCACATTTAAAACAGTTTTGGACAAAAAAAAGGGGGGATGCAACGGGGGACTGCTGGGCCACTGTGTTGCAGCCAGAATTCTGAGTTCTATCTCTCTCACTGCCCTATTCCTCAAAGCTGTAAGTACTGGTATCACCACGTATTTATAGCTAACGTTTTCTCTCTAGCAACACTGCTTTAATTCCACTGTGTTACACTGCATCTGGCTGGATTTTTTTTTTTTTTTTTTGCTTGCTTGGATCTTGGTGACATCAATGAATAAGTGGCAAGTCTGAGATGGACTAGGAAGGAGTGCAACTCTAGGCCAATGCTGCAATATGAGGATCAATTTTCCTTTGATCAAGACCCACTGTTTTTGCTATCAGTTTGCTATCCACACCACCTTCACCAAAGGCTTCCACCACATCACAAGATGACATACTATTTAGTGTGGGTTTGAAATTACTAAACTTCTCCCAATGTTGGGGTTCACATAGTTATAATTACTTCTCCCTCACTCAGTCTTGCTCTTCTAAAAGACAATACAGGAACAAATATACCAGTTCAGAATAAAGCAGGACACAGTGTTTGAATCACCTTCCTTTACGTGAAGTTATAGTAACCATAAGCCTTCGTTAGTTGCTATGTAAGTACCTCCCAGAAACAAGAGATTTAGGGACAATGGTAAATTTAAAGATTAACTGTACAGCTACACTCAATATCTAGAATTCCAGATGTTGATAAATCATTGACCCTCTTGCTACCGCTGAGTTGCTAGCAAACAGGTTCTGGAACTTTAAGTATGCCATTACGTTTAATGTCTCCCAATTATCTAAAAAACGATGGCACATAGTTTCATGCCTCCACTGAGACATCATATATATGTTAGATTATCCATGCAGAGATAGCTAGTTAGAAAGCAAGAAAGAGGTCAGCCAAAAACTCACCACATTCTGTTTTTTCTGCAGCATCTCCAAGTGCTCAACCAGTCCCTCATCAGCCACATCAAATGGTGTCTGGCCCTGATGACATGGGCAATTAGAAAACAGAGGCACCATCCAAGCTTCATTAATACGTCAGAAGTGTTCTTTACCAGTGGATAAAAGAACTGAACTCCCTGCCGCAGTATGCATTCAGGAGACCCCCCACCTTCAGAGACCTGCTTGGACCTCCAACTGCCAGTTGACATATGGAATGGGATGGCAGAGAAGACAGCCCTCGTGTCATAGTCGTGACATAGTCACTTAATTCCTAGACTAGGACTGGCCAAAAGCAGAGGCTGCAGTTTTATAATGCAACCCATGGCCAGACTCACCTTTATTACAAGTGCAGCTCAGAGAGAATGAGATCCCATGCTCCAACTCAGCAGCAGGAGCTATTGCATTTGGGTCACGTGCTCTCCAAAAATTGCACATCTACATTAAGGATGAGGGTGACCTCAACCTGCCCTATTCATTAGTGCACCCTTCTAAGCTCCTGGCAATTTGCCAATGCAGCCATCAACAGGACAAGGTTGAGGGGTCTCTGTCCTGAACTGTTACTCATAAATATAAAATAACTATGAAGGCCACTTTGGGATGTAATGAAAGAGACCTCCAACACTGTCATTTTAATTAAAATACTCAGCCACCTTATTAATCACATTAATAATGAAACCTGATGGCTGTTGATTAAATGAAGACTGACAGGCCACAGCTCCTGGCCAGGGAATTTACAACCCATAGCCAGATCACTAAAAATATTATGACCCACTTAACTTTCAAAGGGATTGTTTGCAGAGCAATAAGACAGTAGAACCTCGCTAATTTGCAGCAGTTACTGAGACAACCATTGAGGATTACAGAATTTTGCAGATTAGGTCCCAATCCGGCAAAGAGAATTGTGGTGGCAGGGGTCTGTCCATGTGGTTCTCTTTGCCAGATCAGGCCTTAGATGAATGATCATACAAACAAAAATAAACAGAATGAATCACAAGTGTAATTTTTCAAATCAATTTCCACTACAAGCAGATGTTATTCTATTCCTCATTTATACAAGGAGGAAAATGCCACACTCAGCCAGACACTTTAAAAAAATAATTTGTTCTCTCAGCCGCCTAAGCCTCCTGTCTGGATTCATTCACTGATGTCGCTCTAGCAGGTATAGTCTCAATCCACTGCCAAAGAAGTGGTCATGATATCACAGCACTGAATCAATTCAGGCAGGAAGCCATTTAGACAGGTAAAAACAGTTTCATACACATCAGAGTTCAGAAATAACAGGAAAGGAGAACAGGATGGGAGTTTCATGGGGGACAAGTACATTTTAAAACATTAACAGTATGTGGCTCTGAAGTTAATACTGTAATCAGCAAAAAAAAAATAGTTACGCTGTCTCTCTGCTTCCCACCCTCACAGCTAGAGAATTCTGCAGGTTCCCCCAGCTTGACCAAGATGTTCAGAGTGAATGGAAAGGATTTAAAACCTTTAGCATCCAATCGGTTATCTCCAAAAACCTACAGGCTTTCAGTCACAGCTACATGTCCACAATTAAAGCTTTCCCATTAAAAGCTCTGGCTTTACCACCACCAAGTTTTTTGTACCTGGGTTATTTCCCATGCAAAGAAGACTGATTTTTGGTCACTTAAGTTGTCAAGACTGTATTAAAACAGGACAGAAGATACCCTGCACTCCCCTCCCTTACGTTCCTGAGCCTCAAGACTCACTGACTAACCTTTTTCCACAAGACTAGGGAGGGTAGCAGTCTCAGAAACAGGAAGTCTTTAAATTCTGTGTTTCCAAATACATTTCAATTTATACAGGGTAATTAGAGCTGGTGCAACTTACCAGATGGCTGGGCTGAGCAATGGGCAAAAGAGGTTTGTGTGCATTTCTCTATAAAAAAAATTCACACTTCAGCTCTGACCTAACAGGGACCAGGGCTCTTCTAGGTAAAGACTGTTTCAGCAGAGCAGAGCAGTGCAATCCTTGCTTCCAGACAGTCACTAGAACTCTGAAGTTGCATCAATAGTTTAACACTCACTTACCAGCTTGTTCCTGATGTCCATGTCACAGAGCGCTTCAGCCAAGATAGTGCAAGCTTCTTTCACTCCCCAGTGTGCAGCAGCATGGAGTGGAGTCCAGCCATCGTTGTCCTGGACATTCAAATTAAACCCAGCTTGGATCAAGAGCCTAAGGAAAGGAAAAAAGAGAATGAATCCCCATGGTAAACATTAGGCCATTTGTATTTTTATGTTCATTTGCAAATAAGAACATAAGAATGGCTGTACTGCGTCAGACCATCCCTCCAAGCCCAATATCCTGTCTTCTGACAGTGGCTGGTGCCAGATGATTCAGAGGGAATGAACAGAACAGGGTAATTTTGAGTGATCCACACCCTGTCATCCAGTCCCAGCTTCTGGCAGTCAGATGTTTAGGGATACCCAGAGCATGGGGTTGCGTCCCTGACCATCTTGGAGAATAGTATTAATGGACATATCCTCCATGGACTTGTCTAATTCTTTTTTTAACCCAATTATATTTTTGGCCTTCATAGCATCCCCTGGCAACAAGTTCCACAGGTTGACTGTGTGTTGGATGAAGAACTTCCTTATCTTTGTTTTAACCCTGCTGCCGATTAATTTTACTGGGTGACCCATGGCCCGTGTGTTATGTGAAGGGGTAAATAACATTTCCTTATTCACTTTCTCCACACCACTCACCATTTTACAGACCTCTATCATCCCTGGGTCTCTTTTTTAAGATAAAAAGCCCCAGTCTTTTTAATCTCTCCTCATATGCTTTCTTGTTCCATACCTCTAATCATTTTTGTTGCCTCTCTCTGTACCTTTTCCAATTCTAATATATCTTTTTTGAGATGGGGCGACCAGAACTGCAAGCAGTATCCAAAGTGTGGGTGTACCATGGATTTATACAGAGGCAATATGATTTTTTCTGTCTTATTATCGAGCCCTTTCCTAATGGTTCTTAACATTCTATTAGGTTTTTTGGCTGCCGCTGCACACTGAGCAAATGTTTGCAGAGAACTATCCACAGTGACTCCAAGATCTCTCAGTGGTAACAGCTAATTCAGAACCCACCGTTTTGTATGTATAGTTGGGATTATATTTTTCCAACATGCATTATTGTGCACTTAACATTGAATTTCATCTGCCATTTTGTAGCCCAGTGACCCAGTTTTGTGACATCCCTTTAACTCTTCAGTCAGCTTTGGACTCGACTACCTTGAGTAATTTAGTAATCTCTCTCGGGCACATTACTGTCATAATATGAAAGACAGTCAAAAGGCAAACAACAAAAGTCAATTTATACTTCCCCAGCCCACAACAGGACCCTCTTACTCAGGATATACCTGAATGGAAAAACATGACTTGTAGCCTGTCCTGAAGGGCAAAGTGACTTTGGTAGAACCAAAAGGGGAAGACCTTGTCTATTAATCTGGGGTCTATTAGCCACATCATTCCAGCTGATTGCAGCTGGTAGGACAGTGTACAGGGAGACTCATGGTTGCCATAACAAGCCATGCAAAACCTTACAGATTAGAAGTCCCAACATCCTGAATTGCACCTAGTGCACAAAAGAGAAGTAGTATAATCTGTGCATGAGCCACTAAGTGAACAGTTTAAGGAGGAAAATCTTGGAAGGATTACACACAAAATTGGCCTTGAAACAAAAGCATATTTTGGCAATGCAGGGAGACTGGGGGAAACTGGGAGGCTTGGGAGAGGTCCAGCCACTGTGCATCACTACCCCAGCACCTCTAAGAAGAAGCCTGCATTTGGAAGGGAAGGCCAGATGGGATCTCTGCAGTGTGAAAATGTTTGGCAGAGAAGGAGCCAAACAAAGACCCAATAAGTTTTGGGTAGAGAAGTCCCAGTAATGGCTTCTAAGAAAAAGCTGGTTGCCCTTCACTACAGTCTAGAGATGAGTCTAGTGCTGGTTCTGCAAAAGAGCACAACTGAAATTCCCCAGACTGACAGGCCAGTGGAGGCAGGACTACCAGAGAGGGATTGGAGCAAGGATTTCACTGCCTGTGACTGACAGCTAATGAACAAGACAACCCACAAATCAGGATTACAAGACATGCATCTTAATAGACTGGGATCTGTGCAGTAAAAGCAAATCCTGGTGCAAGCCAGACACTTTGGGAACACCTCCGCCACGTATACCATTGTCTGACTTTCCCCCTCACCTGTATATCTGATCATTGCAGATGCCATGAAACACTGGCACCCAGTCAAGACCTTTATGTGAAGGTTTTTGAAAAACAGGTATCCATAGTTGAGATCCTAAGGGACTGTCAAGAGTGCCAAAGTGACTGAGAAGCACAAGACCTACTGCCTTTTAACAACACTAAGCACCCACCAGCCTAAACATTTAGGGAGGTCACAGTAGGGCTCTACGCATTGGGACGCTTACCACTGTTCTTTGATTATTTGTATTTTGGGGATTCCACCATCACCTTCAAGAATATCCACATCACCACAGCAACCTTCCCTAAGGCAGAGGTGCACTGGACAGAGAATGAGCACCTGTATGCCATTCCAAACTGCCACCACTGATCAGAAGCAGAGCATGCTGCCTTTATAGCACTGTCATTCGAGGGAGCATTGGGATTTTGACATTTCTGCTGCTTTTAAACCGCTGTGTTACAGTGCTAACTAACTATAGTATTGTTAAATGGCTCACATAGCAGTTTCCTTGTGAAAGCTCAGCTCAGCTGAAACATGTGCTTTTCGATCAGGTGCTGACTTTTTAAGCTAATTTTCCAGCTGGAGAAAGTGGGGAACAAGGCTGTTAAGAGACTTGCTCAAGGTCAAGGAGCAATTCTGTGTCTCATCAAGAGGTTTGCTAGCTCCTGGCTCTCTGCCCTTGGTGTAAGTCACTAGAGTTTAGATTTGAGCTCAAAGGTGGTCATAAAATATCAAAGGGTAAGAGCCCAGATTAGCTCAGTTTTATTTTCTGAAATAGCTAGAAGCGAGGGGAAGTTCTCCACAAGAGGTATAAGCACCATTAGCAACAGTGGCTATTGGAAAGTGCAGCCACCTCATTACTGGACTGTGTGCAAAACACTGCTAAGGACAGACATGACAAGGCACCATTATTTTTACAGTGGTTGAGCCCAAGGGCCCCGATCAGGGCCCCATTGTGTCATTAGGCGCTATACAAAGAACAAAGACAGTCCCTGCCTCAAAGAGCTTACAATCCAAGTATAAGACAAGAGCCAACAGGTGCATATGGATGGTGGAGCACAAGGAAACACTGAGATGGTTATGAAGAGCTGGATAAAACCAGCAGTCTGAGCACACCAATTGCCTAACCACAACTGAGTGTCTTGTAGCCATCACACTGGAGGAGAGTTTTCAGAGGGGATGTGAGCCTGGACAATGGAGCAGCCTTGTGGGAGTTTACAAGGTGCTCCTCCATAGCACAAGAGGTGGCATGGGACAAAGCACACAGGTGAATGTTGGAAAACGCCTTGCTGGAGAAAACCTCACTAAGTTCCACTTGCCCAAATACATTACTAGGCTGCTCAGGGGTTGCTTCTTTTACACTCACAGGCCTATCAGAGGAGCCACTCAGCTTCAGCTCAGCAGCAGTCCAAGTGGAACCTCTCCATTACAGAAACTGCAAGCAGCACTAAGGGCTCATCTACACTGCCAAGTTGTCGACAAAACTTTCGTCTTTCACGGGTACTTAAAAAAGCCTCCTCCCTCCCCCGAAAGACAAAAGTTTTGCCGCGGTAAGTGGCAGTGTGAACGCGGCTCCTGCCGACAAAGTGAATGCCGCTCACGGGACTGGAAGTATTTTGTCGGCAAAAGTGCCGACAAAGAGCGTTTACACACACCGACGTTTAGCAACAAGGCTGTGTCAACACAGCCTTGTCGCTAAAAGCTGCGTGGTATAGGCAAGTCCTAAGTGGAATGTGGGTGTTAAGAGGGGACTGGCTAGTGTCTTTTTCCCTAGGCTGATAAATTCAAACAACAATTTTGCCTGACTAATTTAACTTATTTAGCATATGTATAGGAAAGTGTGACAGGGGCTTAAGTTACGGGGCACCAATAGTTACATGCAAAAAGCAGTAAAGCTTAATATCACATAACTGGTACATCACTGTACCATTGACTGGCCTTCATTAGTTTCCTGCAAATAATTAGTTACACTTCAACCCAGAGTTTTCAGGCAAAACACATTTTGGTACAGAGACTGCAATCACTTTTATCCTGCAATAACATTTAACCTGCAACTCCCAACTCTGCATAGTCAAGAATTAAGCTACATTATATTACCATATATATTACATTATATTACCTACAGAAGTGCTACATTATATTACCGTCTATACTTGTTCATAAGCCGAACATTTTTGGTAAAAGAGTGATGCATCAAAGAGCGGGGGTTGGCTTATAAACGGGTCTACACCAAAATTTGATGATTTTAAACTCTATGGAATCATTGAATTGAATATCTAATACATTGTCATTTTGTTTACCTGGAGCGTCTGCAGGCATGGAGCCCCTCAGCTCCCTGTAGCCGCGGTTCGCCGTTCTCAGCCAATGGGAGCTGTGGGAAGTGGCGCACCACTTCCTGCAGCTCCCATTGGCTGGGAACGGCGAACCGTGGCCACAGGGAGCTGAGGGGCTCTGTGTCTGCAGATGCTCCAGGTAAACAAAACGTCCTAACCCGCCAGCAGCTTACCCTGACGGGCCGGGAGCCAAAGTTTGCCAACCCCTGAAATATAGAGTCAGCTTATGAAAGGATCATACAGTTTTTGCTATTTTTACCTAACCATCTTGGGGGGTCGGCTTATAAACGAATGGGCTAATGAATGAGTATATACGGTACTTTGTACTACTATAGCGCCTAGAAGCCTCAGTCATGGACTAGGATCCCACTGTGCTAGGCGCATAAAAAACAGAGCAAGAAGACAGTCCTTGCCCTGGAGAGCATACAATCTACATGTGGATGGATGCAGACAGACGGCAAAGTACAAGGAAGCCATGAGACAGTGTTGTCTAAATATACAAGACAGAGATAGGGTGCGGGATGGGGTAGAACACACCAGCAAAGTCAACAATGTGATGGTGGCAAATGTCACATAGTTCCATATTTTTTCTTCTTCTTTTGGGTGGGTTTACTTGGGAGGGGATCAGCTACATGGAACGAAGGGAGGGTGAGGGTAGGAGGGGCAGGTGAAGAGACTGAATTAGAGGGAGTGGGAAGGTTGGAGTAAACAGCCAATCAGCACAGGGCAGAGAACATCTGAAAACATTTGATGAGAATGTCCCCAGATCCCTGCTGTGGTTGCTTCTGCTCCTACGGGCTGGAGTCTGGTTGGCTCCTCTCTGCAATTCTCCTCTAAGGTCACATGGCAAGGGGAAGGAGAGGCACACGCCTTATTTCAATTTCAGGCTAAGAAATACCCCGAGGCACCCAGAGCTTTGGATGGGCATCTTTTGGGGTGCATATGTTTATAAACGGAACAGCTGAGATTGAATGGCAGTTGGGTGCCTAACTCTCCCACCACCCACACTCCCAAAACAAACCCCACCCTCAACTACAGCACTAGGAGCGCCCCATTCCACAACAGAACCGAATGCAAGGCATTGACCGATGTAAAGGAGTCATTACCTCATGACTTCAGAGTAGCCCTTGGCTGCAGCTACATGCAGAGCAGTAGCACCTGATCGAGGTTGCTTTATATCCTCAAGCTTCCCACTGTTTAGCCACTGCCGTGCATCCTGCAGCATCTGTTGCTCTTCCTCTTTCCTTGCCAAGTCCAGGTCCACCCCTGTGGGAGCAGATCGCAGATGGAAAAACAAAATCAAACCAAAACTCACCTGTACTTGTGCGTCAATTTAAAATGGAATAATTTTAACAAAATTTTTGGCCGTTTTGCAAGCTCACTAATAGCATTTCCTAGGATGTAGGAGAACTCCTGAACCACCCTCAATAGAAACAAATTCACTGATATTCATAATACTTAAAATTGAGAGGCTCATTCACAAGCCAGCCCACAATTAATTGCTAGGTAAAGCATGAATCAGTTATGGGTGCAAGAATTGAGTCCTCAAAAATGCAGATCTAGCTTAAAAAAAGGTCAAGCACAGCCTAAAGAACAGTCTAACAAACTGAATTAAACATGAATATACATTTAATCTATTGTGTACAGCTGATGAGATGCACCTCAGACGCCTCTTGCAAGGTTAAAAAACCCAAAAAACTATTGATAAATGAGCTTATTAACAGGCCATTCCTGCATGCCCAAAACTCACTGAAGTCAATGTGTTGTATTGCAAAGAAATAGGTGATGCATTTAAGTTACCACAGAAATGCGAGCATGCATGTTGGTGTGCGCCCACATGGAAGGGAACAAGATTCATCACATTCCTATAATAATGGAGCCACTGATCCTGCCCCAAAGATCACTTAGGAACAAAACAGCCAACACAACGTCTAAGCTGCATATGTGGGTTAAGGCTGGAGTCATTCCAGTACACAGACTACTCCAGCACCAACATCATTAGTAAGCTATGCAACAACGAAGCAGAGTTAAATGGCTCTCGTTTCCAAGGGAATGCAGTAAAACTCAGAAAAGGCTACATATTCCATAGAAACTCCTGGCAAATCTTCTAGGCAGGCTTTCAAGTTTCTTCCTAAGCAAGGCTTGAAAATTCCAGTCTCCCAGACGCCAATATCAAGTAGGAAACGGTCTCTGAGCATAAGGGCCCAGCTCCATTAATTACTACAGACTTTAAACTTCCATTTTTAAAAGTTAAGGCTCTAACCCTTATAGCAGCAGAGAAAACCTTCCAAAAAGGAAGGACTACAATGGTGCCTTCCCAAGTCTTCAGATAAGCCAGGTTAGTATGTTTATTGCTGTTTAGAACTTCGCCATCTTACAGTGGTGCAAGCTTCCACTGGAGACGTGCGGAACATGCTTAGCCACACCAGCGCAAAGATAGCCAGTCTAGTCAGTGCCTTGTAGAGGGAACACTTAGGCCTTGTGTGCCCGAGGAGGTTATACATCATCATTAGGGCCCTACCAAATTCACAGTCCATTCTGATCACTTTCACGGCCAGAGGGTTTTAAAATTGGTCAATTTCACGATTTCGGATGTTTACATCTGAAATTTCATGGTGTTGTAACCCTGAGGGTCCAAGCCCAAAATGGAATCATGGAGGGGATTGCAAAGTTGTTGTAGTGGGGTCCCAAGATTGCCACCTTCACTTCTGTGCTGGGTTCAGAGCTGGGCTTTGAAGGCAGCACCCTCCCAGCTTCCTGCAGTTAGAGGAGGTTCCCAGAGGTGGAGGTGAGTAGGATCTCCCCCGTGCTGCTGGGAGCACCCCAGGCAGGGGCTTCTAGCTGCTAGTCCATGCCAGGGACAGATTAAGGCAGGGGCCCCTGGCCAATTTGTGGGCCCCCAGGAAAAACAGGTGCCACAGCCCTGGCAGAAGCCTCTACCAGGTCGCCCTGACCCCCGGCAGGAGCAGCAGGGAAGAAGCCCCGAGCCCGGGTGCCATGAACCCCAGCTGCCGCCGCGGGGCTGAAGCCTCGAGCCCGGGCAGCCCTGAGCCCCAGCTGGAGGGGGGGGGGGGGGGAAGAGGGGGGGGAAGCCCAGAGACCACGCTGCCCTGGCTGGAGCTGCTGGGGCAGGAAGGGGGGTGGGGGAGGTGGAAACCCCGAGCCCACACTACTCCGCCTGGAGTGGCAGAGGAAGCCCGCAGCCCAGGCTGCCCCGAGCCCTGGCTGAAGCTGCGGGGCTGAAGCCCAGAGCCTGGGCTGCCACAGCTGCAGCCACTGGGAGCAAAAGCCCCAGCCCAGCAGGACCCGCTAAGGGAGGAAGACCCAAGCTTGGCGCCTGGTGCTGTGGGTGGAGATGCTGGGGTGTGGGGGAACAGAAGCCCAGAGCCCAGCTCCTGGGCTGCTGCAGTGCAGAAGTGAGGGCGTACCACTCATTTCTGTGCCGCCTCTGGAGGTGGGTCTGATCTCCCCACCAAGAGCGGCCATACAAAGGAAGGACAACTCCTGACCCTCCCCAGTGCGGCCAGAATAGCAGCTAGGAACCCGGGGTTCCCAGCAGCAGAGGATATCAGATTTCACAGGGAAGGGCTGATTTCATGGTCCATGACACGATTTTCACGGCCTTGAAATTGGTAGGGCCCTAATCATCATAACTAGCACCAATGCTTTTCATTGTTGTAAACAGCAATTTGCACCAGTGCAGTTTACCTTGGTTTGAATCTGGCACAAACTGCACAGACATAAGACGCTTTTTAAAACAGTGTAGCTGCTAAAAAAACCCAGTATAGACAAGACCTTTGTGGTTCCCAGTGGAGAAAAATATCAAATGCAAATCCAAGTTGCAATAGTTTTTCTTGTTAGGAATAACATGATGGCAATATTATAACAGACCTCAGTGAAGTTAGGACTTCACAGATACCAACTGGCTGGATAAATATCAATTAGCTGGTTTAAAAAAAAAAAATCTTTTATTCAAATTGGATTTGTATTTAAATACATTTTTCTTTTTAAAAATAAACATAATATAAGTTGTCATTATTTCAACTTCAATTTTAAGGCCTAAATTATTAAAATAATTTAAATTAAAGAAAAAAATATTCAAACAGTACTATTGCTGCCAAAGTTTTAAATAAAGTCAAACCACTGAACTTGAAGTCACTGGCTAAGCACCTACAGCCAGAGTTTGTCGAAGTGCTAAACCAGCTTTTGACAAGAGTAGCCTCGTCTGCACGTACAGAGAATATTTTCATCATTTCAGTTTATTCAACTAGTTCAGTTCAATGACTAGTTCATTCAGAGTTGAGAAACCAATTGGGAGTTGAAAAAGCAGGAAAAATACCCCTTTCAATCAATGGATAAAAATCATGAGAGAGGATGGTATTTACTATTTCTAAAATCTTGCAGGACATGGTGACCAGACACAATCAGTTCGATTCATTAACAACAGATAGTATTTCTGTTTAATAAATCAGCATTAAATGCAAAACATGTTATGGGAAACTTACTTTTTTCCTATGTATCCAGAACTTTAAGGTATTTTAATAAAGAAAATTTTAAAATGCTGTTGGTGCATTTAATTGAATTCCAATCTCCATCCAAATGCAGCTTGACAAATCACGAGTAAAAAATAATCTAGTAAAGAAATGAGTCACCATTTTCTAACAAAAAATGTTAAGAATATGAATAAATGTAAGATTTATAATTGCTTAAATGTGTATAAATAATATAGTGTAACATCCTGGTTAGTAAAAAGTACCAAATTTAGCGTAAAGGCTATTTTAGTTGCAAATCAACATGTTTTAATGGCTATCAACCAATGAGAATCAACCTTTGATTAGAAAAGTAACTCAAAAGTACAAGTGCAACACAAGATTAAAACAAATTATTTAAATCAAAATTTTTGTGGCTGATGATTTTAAATCAGTGATTTAAGTCACTGATTTAAATCAATCCACTCTGGATATCAGAGACCTGAATTTAACTTCATCTGAGAGTAAAGAGATCCTGTATGAGGCTATATCATTTTCAACCATTTGGTATTTTGCCTTCTTTGCACAAGCCATTTTACAGAGGATGCAGAATGGAAACTAAGTATTAGTAATTTGTGAACTATATCACAGCGTGTTTTGTACAATTATTCTAATGCCAGGCCATCAAAGTTAAATTGTTCTGCTACTCCTTGGGCCAGATTTCAGTTTCATCAAGACATCTAGTATATCCAGTTTCCTTATAAAGCCCCTAGAAGGCCCAAAGGAAGCATGTTCAAGTGCACAGCTGGCTTACCTTGTTTCTTTACTTGTTCCAGAAGCAGGTCCTTCATGGCTGCTTCCTCTGCAAGGTCAGATGGGACTTCACCTTCACTGTTAACAGCAGCCACGTTGGCTCCATGGCTGAGCAAGTATCTATACAAATTAGACCCATACTGATGTATCAGACTCTTACCAGAATTGAAATTCATATATGACTGAACAGCAGAAGAGTATCTGGTTTTCTGATACAAGTGAGGTCCCAAATGAGACTGCTCTGTAAGCCTCTCAATTTAGAGTTTAGAACTCCTGCTGCTCCTCCATAGCAGCCCATGCAAACAGTTGTTATACTCCCATTTCTATACAGCCAGTTAAAATGCCTCGATTTCATGTACGAACATGGTCATGCTTGTGCTTTTAAAGGAGTTTTGAAGTAACAAAAAACCAAACAAGACTGATCTTCATTATGTTCTTCCACTTCCCTTTTTATAAGTGAATCAAAAGTTCACACAAGAGCAGGCAATTCCTCCTTCAGCGTGCATGTCATTAAAGAATGTGACAGACTAGCAACGTTCTCGGTTAAAGGTCTTACAGGTTAGGGAGGGAGTGGCAGGAAAAATATTGTTTCCTTATATTCATCCCCTTTCAGAAAAGCTTATTTGAAATTTGCAAAGCTTATCTAGCATTGGAAGCTTCTCCAGAGGAGGAAGCCTAAAGTGAACACAATATAAAGGCAAGTTTTATACAGTATCTGGAAGCTTCTCTATGCTCTGGATTTAGACATGAAAAAACACAGTAGCTGTTCCCCAAACTCTGCACATCCACTAACCTTATTAGCTCCATGATATCTTTGATGGGGTTTTAGGATGTGCAGAAATTGCATTGATATTTGATGCCAAGTTTGTCATTTTATACTTGAGCTTTCCCCTAAACGTCCTCTACCAAAAATATTACACATCTTTGTCAAAATATTCTTCCTCACCCAAGTTAAACCCACAAAAAACACCTCCATTAACCCTTTGCCACTGGAAATTAGCATTCCCCGCCGCTCACCATCAGTGCAATGGTGCAGAGTCTGCCTGGGCCACTCAGGCAAAAGGCCACCCATGAGAAGACAGGAGTAACTGAACTGTAGTGGACATTTCTTGGGTTAGGTCAGTGCATGGAGCGGAGATTGAAGAAAAAAATTGCTAATTTCTATTTGCCTTGGGTATGAACCAGTCTGCTTTTCAGAAGCACAGCTCAACCAAATGAGAACCCTATTGCTTAGTTTTGCAATATTTTGATTCCAATTATTCCGCTTTCCTAAACAGATCCTCACAGTAACTGGCTGGCTTAGAACAACAAATCTAATATCGTAACATCCCCCCCAGTGCAACTAGAGTTATTGGGCCCATGGGTTAGAATGAATACCACGGTCAATTGCAGAGTGTTAGTCCTCTCAGCACACTTACTGATTCCAAGTACTGAAGTCAGAGTAATCTTGAGGAGCAAGTCACTCTATGATCTTACCTACACCAAATTAAGCCTACTTTAATTCTGAGTGAGCGTGTCCACACAGGTGCAATTTAACAAATCCACACCTTTAGTTAATTTGTATTAACTTTCCTGACTGTCTCCATGTAGACAAGCCTTCTGTTTTTAAAATTAAATATTTTTAAAAACCTACTGGACCAAAAAAAGTCAATAAGATTTAGCACTCTATTTTTGCATTTACATTTGTTAATTTACAGCATTTGTAATCAAAGATTAATCAATTAAGGCCAGAAGGAACCATTAGACCATCCAGTCTGAACTTGTGTGTAACATGATAGAGAATTTTGCCTAGTTATCCGTGTTGAGCCCAATCCCTTGTGTTGTACCTAAATGTTACACGAAAACCCAACATAGCAACACCCATTTTAACTGGATTAAGTAACAGGTAGTTACTTTTACTTAGTCCTCCATCTTTGTCAGGCAGCTTGTAAATAATGGGAACACAATCTGGATTTGAAGAGAACGGCGTTAGCATACTAGGGACACTGCAGCGCAAACATCTACCCTTCCCCTAAGGGCTTTTCATGCCTTTTGAGCAGTTGTACTCCAAGGACCTGTCTACATTAGGAACATTTTCAAGAGGACATCACTATAGTTATCCTGCAAACCCCTAGTCAGAGGTGCTGCATGGGTATAAAAAGCAAGGCTTTACACCGGTGCTGCTTAATCCAATAATTTAACCACTTTACACTTGTGCACTGTGTCTGACGGTAGGGGTTTAAACAGGAGTAACAGCATCAAGGTAATTAAACCTATGACGTTTTTCAAATGTACACCAGAAAAGAAGTTTACAATTCTGCATGCATTCCCTTTTGAAGGGGGAGCGGCACAGCTGCTCAGCAAGTAGTTGAGCTGCAGCTGATTTGTGCTTTATTAGTGTGACCTGAAGAAGAGCTCTGTGTAAGTTTGAAAGCTTGTGTCTCTCACCAACAGAAGTTGGTCCAATAAAAGATATTACCTCACCCACCTCGTTTCTCTAGTGTGCACACTGTCAGTCACTGTGCTTCTGTTTTGCTCAGCAAATTTTAGCTTAGACATCTGACAATGCATTAAGCATTTCAGATGCAATTATCAAAAGGCAGACTGGTGTCATCTTCCACCCAAACCCCTACAATCAATAGCAAAGACTAAGAGTAACTTATCTTCTGTCCTTTTAACTTAGCATTTCCAAGATCTACTGTTCTGAGTCACATGGCATCAGCCTTCCATGTGCCAGATCTGAGGAGGAGGGTGTGGAATCTGTTATTGTAAATACTCATGACAGCTTGAAACTCACTCACTCTGCTATGTTCAGATAGCCACAGGATGCCACAGCGTGAAGGGGGGTCCAGCCCTCATTATCCTGCTGGTTTACACTGGCTCCATTTTCTACCAGGAACTTCACCATGTCCAGGTTCTCGTCTATACAGGCCTATGGGGGAGGAAGCAGGTGGTGTTAAATATAGTAAACAACTTCCATTTTCGGTTTACTAGCAGTAAGTGATACCTAGGGTTCACACCCACACTACGCCTGCTCACTGATGTCTGTCTACCTGACAGCTCTGCCTCTGATATCTCTGTACTGGTTTGTCCTGTTCCCTCCCTCCCCCATACGCACCCTGCCTCAGAGGAAAGGATCATGCTGTAAAGTGATCTGTCTATATTCATCTTAGGTATGCCATTAGATTCCTGTAAGCAAGGCAACTTGTAGATTTATTTAGATCATGGTGTTCCAGAAAAGTTTCAATTACATGAATGACAGGACACTCCAGGAAATAACTATTGCATTAGGGTTGTACAGCCCAAGTATGAGTTCAGGGAAATTAACAGTCAAACATGCAGGAAAATCAGAACTTCTGCACACAGGATATTTGCCCCTTTATACAGATGACTCCGTAGTGAAAATGAAATTTTACTGAGAAGTGACATAAAAATGTCATATTGTTACTCAAACTCATTTATTAAGAGTAGTTTTTGCTTACCTTATTGACTAAAATTAAATCTGACTATTCCTGTTGGCACTACAGAATCCAAACAGCTATTTAAGAGAGAGTGGGATTCTAGTCTAGCATGTGTATCAATACTACTAGAATTCAACTGCAGAAACTTTTGCTATGAGGTTGCCAGAAAGAACCAGCTTGACTTTCAGATCCCAGGCTAAGCCTGCAGAGCTGAGTGTAAGGACAAATGTTTTCCCATGTAACCTGAGCAGATCTGGCGTTGAAATCATTTAGACAGACAGACATGGATCCTCACAAAAACATTTGTACAATCATGTTTTAGACTGGACCAGCACTTATGGTTCCATTCCACTGTGAAGATGATTTTGACCGCCCTTTAGCTTCATCAAAACATAACAATCTGCCCAATAGTTGACATACAGAGTGGAATTCTTCTGATCAGTTTTAGGCAAATTGGACAATGTTTCAAATATACACAAGCTCGCAAAAGAGAATGAATACTTGGAAGTTAAACACTTTATCCCTTCATTGCTCAAAAGTAGCTGGACTCATTTGTGATTCTCTGTTGTGTTCTTGTTTGTGCTTATCAAGGAGTCCTTTCAACTTTTTTGGCAGGGGAAGGAGTAGATGGGAAGATAAAACGAGTTACTTGGAGGCCAGAGGTGTAGTAAGTACTGAAGGATTACACACCTCCTATGTTCACATATATGGGTGTTTGGCCTCTAGCCAGACTGATCATCTGTAGGCCATGGCTGCAGACTTCCTAAGGTCCCTAATGAGGCCACCATGGCATGTTTGTTGCGATACACAACCTGAAAATAGCCACTTTGTCCTTTGAACAAAAAGCCACTTTACCACCAAAAACAGTGAGGAAACAAAGAGCACATTTTCTGAAGTGAAATAAAAATACTATGAGGTTCCCTTCTTAAGCATATTCATTCCTCAAACATCTAAAATAAAAAGCCTGCATTCTGTAATTAAATTATAGCCGATGGGGGGGGGGGGGGTGGTCAGTTATTAAATAGTTAGGACTCTTACCACTCATGTCCACCCAGGGGTATTTGTGTACTTTTACAGCATATTTGCTCTTTCAGCGAGGAACCTATTTTGAAGCTTTAAACAAAATCTGAATATGTTAAGGACACACTCAACTGATGCTGAGCTAACTAGTCAGGAAGGGAGGTTTTCAAAAAAAGATGACAAAATTCTTAAGCTTTCCCATCTCATGGGTTACACATCATTCCTGTCTCTAGCCTGCAGGGAAGCTGCCCTTTTTAAAAAAAAAAAAAAAAAAAAAAATCCTGCTGTCTACTGATTTGCACCTGAATGGAGATGGGGTGGCTGGACTGCTAGGAGGAATTTTTCCTTTGTAGGATTTTTTATTACAACCCACTCCCTACCCTTTAAAGCCCTGAGGCATAAGGTGGAGGCTGTCTAAGGCTACATCTACACTACAGCTCATGTCAGCACAATTTATGTCGCTCAGGAGTGTGAATAAACCACCCCCCTGAGCGACATCAGTGCTTATGTCAGTGTAACTTATGTGGACAACGCTATGTCAGTGGGAGACCTTCTCCGACCAAAGTAGCTTCTGCCGCTCGCAGAGGTAGTTTTATTATGCCAACGGGACAGCTCTCTCCCATCGGCATAGAGTGTCGTCACCAGACTCACTGCAGTAGTACAGCTGCATTGGTGCAACTGCAGCGCTGTACATGTAGACACACCCTCAGCTAGCTCCTTAGTATTCTCCATACCTAGCCAGTATGCTCCCTCTCTCTGAGAGCATCAAAACTGGACTGGAAAGCACCGAAGCAGAGACGGGGCAGGTAGCAGCACCCTGATCTATATGTGGGAAAGCAGCTCGCACCGCTCAGAGGCAAGAACTGCATACCCTTGGCAATTATTCCTGTGCAGCCCAAAGGTCACTGCACTCGGGCCTATTACAAGATTTGGAAACATCTACCAATTACGAAAGGAAAAAGCCTCATAGATCATTTTCTCAAAAAATCCACTAGCATTATTCAAAATCAGAAGTATAGCATGGGAACAGTTACAGTCACCTAAACAGCTTTAACACGGCCCCTGCATTTAACCCAGAACCACAAAAACCAGGAGACAATCCTATATACCCCAAAATACACATCACTTACTCCAAAAGTAAGACTACATACCCGGACTATCCTACTCAACAGACAATGCAATATTGGAGTATTCAATATCAACTAAAGTACATTCTCTTTTTATCGCAACAAGCTATTCCTGGGTTACTTTAGGTCACAGGCAGTCACCCAAAAGAGATCTATTTTCAGATCTCTTCCCCAAAGTGACCACATTCCAGACAACCCTCTCACAGTATATTTACACTTTTCATGTATAAGAAGTGTTATACATGTCTCCAACTCTCAGTTATTTTTGTGGGCTGTACAGAAGAAAAGAGGAAGTTACATGAGAACAGAACAGGGAGGATTTATTTAAATCACACATTTTAATCATGATTTGAAATCAGCAAATAGGAAGCCTTGATTCAAATGACTGATTTTAAATCTTGTTTTGCATTTGCACTTTTTAGTCATTTTCCTAGAGGTTGTCTCATTGTTAGTAACAATTAAGCATGTTGAGAGTGTTTTCACTACATTTGGTACTTTATTTGCTAACTAGGAGTATAAACAATATCTATACACATTTAAGCAATTATAAAGCTTAATATACACTTATTCAGAGTCTCAATTTTTACAATTTTGTATTGTTAGAAAATTATGAAAGACATTTCTTATTTACTAGATTTTTTAACTAGTGATTTGTATTAAGCTGCATTTGGCTGGAAACTGGAATGGATGGAAACGTATTGATTAACATACACAAGAAAAAAGGTATTAAACAAAACATTTTGAGTTTGAAATTAAGGATTTCTTAGTAGTTAAAACTACCTTAAATGTGCTGGATACTTGACAAAAATTTGAGTGGTTATGCAAAACATCTTAATTTCAAACTCAAAATATTTTATGTTTTGTTTATTTCTTTTTCTCTTGTGTATCCTAATCAGTAAATTTCCAAACTTTGGCATTAGTTTTCTAGCGTTTCCACCATGAGACTAAACAGGCCCAAGTCTCTGTACTCAAAACACTGAACCATGTTTAACATTGTACAGTGAAAGGATCACATTAAAATTTTTGACTCTGGGACCATTTATTCCATTGAATTTAGCACACAAGAGTCCTCTTCAAGAATTTCATCAAAATGTCTCCATCATACACCAATTCTACCTAGCACGCTTACGGTTCTATACACAAATTTTAAATTAAGTTGAGCTGGAGGCAGAATGGAAGGTCATTATCTCTTTTTAGGGGACAGGTGAGATTAAGTCTGGGGAAACCTGAATTAAAGAATAGACAATAATAAGCTTAGCCTTCAAAATTCAAAGATACCATCCTAAACACAAGATAAGATTCAAGATTTCCCCACCCATGTCTCAATAAGTTATATTTACAAACTCAACTCCATGTTACCTAATTTTTCACCTGGGAATGTACATATTAAAAAAAAGCTAATTATGCCTGGAAATCTTGTATGATCAATAAGAGTAAAGAAAAGGACTTAACACACAACATTTTAAATGTTTCATGACCCATAGTTTTAGCAGACTGCAGAGAACACTTAAATTCGCAGGGAACAACTTGTAATATGCAGCTTTGAGATACAAGTTAACTTGGCAAAAATTATACATTTGTTGCTTGTGTAAAATTACTTTGTTATTCTGTGAGTTTTACCTGAAAGGTAAACTTTAAACGATTGACTTTACAATCAGGAGAATGTACTCACATTGTCTACACTGTACGAGTTAGACAGAAATAGAATAGAGTTTATTTTGTTTATCATCCGAACTACAAAAATAGCCACCACCAACTATAACTGCACAGATTGGGTGTCAGCTAAGGGAACTGAAATGGTCCTCACTCAAACCACTAGATTAACTGGGCTCCAAGGAAGCATTCTAGATGCAAAAAAGGGGGGAAATGCATTCTTTGGGGTCTCTGTCTCGTACTGGCCTTGAATTTATCATCCTGCACGATTCCTGTGGAATGCAAGCTGGAAAGAGAAGGGATAATGGGATAAATCCCCACCTGTTCCTGTAGGGTTACCATATTTTAATTTAAAAAAAAGGAGGACACTCCACAAGGCCCTGGCCCCGCCCCAACTCCGCCCCCACCCCTACCCCTTTCCTCGCCCCCACCCCTACCCCTTCCCCAAAGTCCCCGCCCCAATTCTGCCCCTTCCCCTGAACGCTCCGCCCCCCTGCTCTTCCCCCTCCCCTGCTTCCCGCGAATCAAATGTTCGCGGGAAGCCTGAAACAGGGAGGCAGCAGGTAAGCTGGGGCGGGAAGCGGCGCGGCCCAGTGTGGCCCCGGCGTCTCCCGCCCGGCTCGGCTCGGGCCCTGGGGCGCCGGCCCTGGTTCCGGCCAAGCGGCTCCAGC